CTTTCTCTGGCAGTAATTGTTCCAATTTATCTACACAAACTATTTTTATAACAATCCAACAAGGTAGGCCTATTATGAGCCTTATTTTACAGATGCTGAAACAAGGTCGCACAGCTACTAAGCTGAGAAGCTAGGATTTGAAACCAGGCAATCTTACTCCAGATCTCCCATTTGGTGAAAGCGCTTAAGAAATGTTAACAACCCTTTCAATTGCTATTATAAAGCTATAGAGGTTCCAAGAAGGAATTCTGGTTCATGGCCAGAAAATTATGCTCCTACTGTCTTTCTGCTTTTATCAGAAAGTTAAAAGTACTTTTAGAGATGCTTGCTGAGATTTAAGACTTAATTTTTCCCAGAAACCTCTAATTTTACAGTGGCAATCAATGGAAAACTAGAAATACTGTCCTTTTTACTCTGTGCCTTCGAATTCTTTATCAAGTTTATCCAACTTCATCAATCTTTCTCATTTTACATGTTGTAAATGAACTGGGAGATTAAACTTTCACAAGCAATTTTAACAGAATATTGAAGCAGAAAATTTTAAAGCAGTCAAGACAGTAAACACACAGACACATACATGCTATAATCAATATGTATTATGATACAAGTAGAAAAATTAGTAACAAAAAAGTACTTTTATTTTCAGTTAGCAAAAATTACAAAGTCTGTATTGTGTCTAATTTAAATGTTATCAGAAAGAATTTAAATATTAGCAATTTAACATTGCAATTATACATTACAGTTTTTAAATAAATAATACAGTTAGCATTATCTCACCTTCTCAAAAACAAAGGGGGGGAGAAAACAAATCTTACCTCAATGAAAGAATCAATGTGCAACATCAGAGCTTGAGTCCTACTGATAATAAACTGATTGACACATGCAACAGCATGAGATCTAGAAACAACAAAAAAAAGAAAATTTAACACATGGTAATTACAGCTTTTATCCTGTTTACAGAAGATCGGCAAGAGTCAAACATTGATCCATAAAAATATTACAGTACATGTATATCCATAAATGTACCCACTAAAAAGAATAAAAATTACAACGCTAATCCCAACTTCATCATTCTCTCTCATTTCTTTTTAGATAATTTTATTGCATATATATATAAAGGGTGTATATACCTTTGTCTTTAATCTTATAAAAAGGGTAATTATACTGAATGTAATCTTTGGGGACTTTTTTTTTAAAACTTAATATTATATTGTTAAGATACATCCATATTTGTCACTATAGCTCACTTGTTTTGACTATAAAATATTTCACTGAATGATTATTCCACAATTTAGTCATGTACTTTCTCCTTGATGACCTTTGGGCTGCTTCTAGGTTTCTGCTACTGTGAACATATTCTTGAAAATACTATCTTGTCTCCTCCTGTCCATGTACAAGAGTTTCTCATATACATATGCATGGAAAGATTCATAACTTAAAAAACAAAACACCTAACCTTGTCCTTAAACAAAGGAACTTCAAAGCAGTGCTTTTAGCCATTACAAATGTAATTAGCCACATAGAAGGTAGAGAACTATATCATATTTAACGAAAACTGCATTAGAAACATTTTATGGTATTTTTGTTATTAAAGGAGTATACTTCAATTATGTAAGTTTACCTTTGTGAGCATCCCATATCCTTTGCTAATCACTAAAATATTAGGTAATGAAAAGAAAAGGAGTGGTCAGGCTGTTAACAGAGGTTGTAAATTAATTTAATATTGGATACATAAATACCTTATTTTTGGACTACTGTGCTTGAAGAACTGTAAAAATTTGGGAATCATGATGTTGAGAGGACGATCTAAAACATCACTATCTAAAATCTCAGCAGAATCTTCACATATCTTCTGAAGAGCACCAAAAGCTCCCTGTAAAAGATACATATTTAAATTATTAGTCCATCAAAAAAGAAGCCATTTAAAAAGCAAACTGAGGAATACCAACATATATATTACTGTTCTTAGTTAACTTATAAATGCTGCTTTCTAGAAATTCATATATTTAGTTATTCAATTTTAAAACAAAACCAGTATACTATTAACTAAAGTCTCAGTTTAAATACAATGGTACATTTTTATCTTAACATTAAATGACTTAGATCTAGAGGATATTTGGGTTGGCAGGGATTATAATAAATATCGTCTAATTAAAAAATTTAACTCCTCTGAAACACTCTTAAGTCAATGTTACTCTTCTCTTGTTAGATACCAGTTTGTTAAAACTGAACATAAAACTCTACATTTACATATAAATTTATATAACCATTCTAACACTTGAAGCACATAAAAATGTCTTTATCAACACCATTAAAAAAATTCATAAATTATTCATTGGGTAACTGGTAAGGAGATCTGTTAAAAAGGCAGGCAATTCAAATTGGCAATGATTTCCCGATAACCATTTGTATGCCAAACGGGCTAACCCAGAGCTCCTGCACACAATATATAATCTACTAGTTACCTCAACCACCTTCTTTGCTGTTTATAATTCCATCAGCAGCAACTTGGTGCTTATTTTCCATTCAACAACTAATTTGCATCCAAAGAAAGTAAAATCCTTTAAGGCAATTATCCAGAATTTTTTTAGGGTTTATAATACTTTAAAAAATACTAAATTTGGGGATTTTTAAAGTTAAATTAAATTTTTTTTTTTTACTGTACTTCAGGTGAAGGCTTACAGAACAAATAGTTTCTCATGTAACAGTAGTACACATATCGTTTTTATGACATTGGTTAACAACCCCACAACAGGTCAACCCTCTAACGTCTCAACCTTTTTTTTGGTGAAAATACACATAGCCATAGATACACCATTTCACAAATTTCTACACGGACAGTTCAGTGACATCGACTACGCTCTTCCAATTGTGCTGCTATTCTCACCTAAGATGAAGGCTTACAGAACAAAATATTTTCTCATTTAACAGTTAATACACATGTTGCTCTATGACAATGGTTAACAATCTCACAACACATCAACAATATCCTTAATCTTGTGTTCCCTATCACCAGCTTCCTTGTCCCCTTCTGCCTTCCGGCCCTTGTCACTGGACTACTGTACCTCATTAGTCCTATTTGGTTTTATGGGGCTGTCCACGCCCAGGCTGAACGGTGAACCTCGGAGGTTTAATTAAATTTCAATTTAATTAAAATTCAGTCCTTAGATTTAACATGCATAAAATTAATATTAAGGATTCGAAAACTGTCATGTTAAAAATCAGTACAATTGAGTATTAAGGTTTTTTTTAAAACAAAAGGCTTAGCCCTGAAATCCTATTAAAGTAAAACTCAATGTAAATTATTACCTATTGTGGCAATGAAAATAAAAATAAAAATTTCAACTAGGAGCAAACATTTAGTCAATAAAACTTCAAACATCTACAGATCTAAATCTCTAGTTCAGGCAGATGAAAATACTATTTATTTAAAATAAGATTTCTATATAGTAGCATGATTTATGCAGTTAAAATCTTCTGTTTTTGGAAAGTGCTTGTTTAAAATTATCTCCTTTTATGTTATTATCAGTATACCACAATTTTAATCAACTGTTAAATGATGGCTAAACAGTAATATTATTTCAGTTTTTCAGCAATCTTAGTGCTTTCTCAAGGCATTATTAAGAAACGTGTATATGAGACTGCAGGATTTTGTGCTTTCAGAAAGGTAGAATGGGTAGGTAAGGGCTTTAAACGCTCCTTTGTTAACTCCCCCTCCTCCCATCTTCCCTTCCCTACTTCCCCACAGGTCAGGCAACAAATTCCAAGTCATAAGACAACCTGATTCCTTTTTGTTAGGTTATTCCTGTGCCTGCCCTGTCTCTAACCCCATCTCCAAGTCCAGCTTTTTTCTGAGAGGAGTCTCTGCCTTACAGAGGCTAAATGTCTAAAATGGCTTCTGCTTAAAATAGACTTCTATCCAAACTGGAAGCCTAGTAATGAAAGAGATACTTAAAGTACTTATGTGCAGTGAGAAATTACAGGAAAATAAATCCCTACAGACTCTCTCTCACCTTCTGAAATGGAGAGGTTGCTACTGATTTGATCAGGGGCAAATAACAGGAAAACAGCTGACGTATGATTAAAACTAGAAAACTACACATACCTGAGACACGTTACACAATAAGAGGCACTAACAACTCAGAAAAGCTAAAAAAGTACTCATGCTGTGTGAATTGGGTAAACTTCACTCTTTGAAAAACAAAACAGTAAAACAAATGATCACAAATGTATGACACAAAGGCAATTTTAGGCTTCTAAGTTTGGAAGTTGTGTTTCAGGGGGAAAAAAAAAATTCCCCAAAGTTGCTAATATACAAAATGACAAGAGACACAGAAAAAGAAAAATTATATATGATGCAAATATCCTTACCTCACAGGTGTTGTAATCTTCAGAATCCAACAGGCTGCAGAGTTTTGGTAAGAGGTCAGGCCAATTCTGCAATTCTCCCTTGGAGGCTATGGTTGTAATCAAAATACCTTGAAAGAAAATACACATCTTCAGGAAATTTGACTCCATTTTGCTAGACACTGCCATGAAAGCAAGTGTATGCACTTGTACACACACACATTTTTAACTGCCTCAAATCAACCTCAGGCTTCCAAACCAATGTAAATAATAAGATTTATCAATGAACCCCACATCAACATACTTCATTTGTGGAAAAATCATAGCATAAAGCAGATCTGCTTCTAATTTTGTATCCCAGTACTTCACCCCCTTTAAGTTTCGTTTTTTTAAACGAAGTATCTGTACAAAGGACTACAACCCACTCTTCTCCAACAATACAAAAGATAGCTCCACAATTAAAATTACTCCTATTTTTTAAAAAATTACATAGAAAAGAGCAGAATGAAAATACCAAAATGTTAGTAGCACTTATCATTGGGAAACGAGTTTATGAGTCTTTTAGGTTCAAATAAAATATACATTCAGAAACTAAGAACAGTTAGCTCCCTGACTTAATCTGTAATTACAGCCAAGGATGATGGTAGGGGGAGATAAAGCAGATGAGCATTACTCAAGATCAGTGCTATATGTTCACTCTGTTTGCAACACTCCTACAGTAGCTCACACTTTCTGGATCAAGGATGATCTTGCATCTTAGAGGCTGAGTGGCACATGCTGACTGATAACACTGCTTTGACTGGCTGGATTATTTCAAATGTGCTGTTCATTTTACTTGTAATAGTTAATGGATTTGCAATAAATACACAAAAATGTAACACAAAAGTTTTGTGTTAATATAAATAGTGACACAACAAAAGTTTTATATTAATATTTTTAATCTGCCTTACTAGATATAATATTAGTAATATAATGTGCTTGGTGATTACAAATCTTTTGGTACCATAATTAAGAGCATATGTTGTGACAGGAGGCAAATTATATGTACTCTAAGCTTCAAAATACTAATCTGTAAAAAATGAAAAAAGATAAAGTATTCTCTTCATAGGATCATTTTGAGAATTCAGTGAGATATGCATACAAAATGCCTGACACATATTGAGTACTCAATGATTATTATTGAACACAAAATTTTTACATGGAAACAGTGGGATTTTCCCACAAATTTTCTTTGAATTTTCCACCTTTAGTTTTATGAAGCTTGCTCCTGAGAGCTAAATGTAAGAGGAAAGCTGTTGGCAAACTCTCCGCTAAAAATTAACTTAAACAGTAAGAGTCAATGGACTGATAGCATTTTAAGGATAATACCCTTATAATAAAACAGTATTATAATACAATCCAAAAACAGCAAGACTAATAGTAGGCCTGATCCTTCCTGCCAATTATTCTTCCCTGAAGTTAAAACACACGGAAACTTTTTCTACGAGGGAAAGAGAAAAAAGATACGCACCTGTCGGAAAAAACCAAGCGTATCTTAAGACTATAAACAAGCAATAATTAATAGAAAATACCATCTACATCTTTATACTAATAGTCCACTGACATTCATTACTTCTGCTCGGGGACCATTAAAGAATGTTTATAGACAGAAAATCTTAAAACTTATCTGGCCCTATAATTTCATCCACTCCCAAATCTTCTAATTCCTAGTATAGTCATAAATTAAAAAATTACAGATAATTCTCAGTGTTTACAACAAATATGGGAGTGAAAATCGGTGTGCTTGGCAATATCTATTAAAATATAAAATGTTTAAACAACATACTTGGACCCAGCAATGCCACTTCTAAGAATTAACCCTATAAGACACATTTCCATAAATGTATAAATAGCATGCACAAAAGCATGTTCACTGAAATAGTAAAACTATAAACTACTCTTTAACAGGAGAAACAATTTCATATTCATCTAACGGATTACCATATAGTCATTAAAATGTGGTCCATCCAAACACACTTCCTTGACAAGATTCCCAGTACGCATTGTTAAGGTTAAAAAATAAAAAAGGCAAAGTTACATAAAAATATATAGGGTGATCCTATTTACAAAATAAAAATTTTAAGCAGCTATGAGCATAAGAAAAAGACTTATGAACGAATACTCAAAACTGTTTGCCCTTCATGATACATACATTTCTGTAATGTTAGAATTTTTTGATAACTAGCAAATTCACTTTTACAATCAGAAATCTTTTTAAACACATGATCCTTGCCCTTAAGGAGCTCAATCAGGGCAGTGGTTCTCAACCCAGTTTGATTTTACCCACCTCCCCCACTCCATGGGATGACATCTGGTAGTGTCTGGAAACACTTCTTGTTGTCACACAGGTGGTGACAACTAGTGGGTAGATGCTGATTAACATTCTACAAGGTGCAGGACAGCCCAACAATAATAAATTATCTGGTCCAAAATCTCAACAGTGCAAAGGCTGAGAAACCCTGGTTTAGAGGAATAGGGACCTACTTAAACCAATAATACAGTACTTACGCTGTTGTTCTCATGTTAAATCTGCTGCTGAGTTGGCTACAACTCACGGGCAAGCCTATGCACCACAAAACGATGCTGAGTCCTGCGTCATCCCCATGACTGGTTGTAGACTGGACTGTTTTGATCTGTACGATTTTCACTGGCTAATTTTTGGAAACAGATCACCACCAGGCCTTTCTTTCTAGTCGTCCTTAGTCTAGAAGCTCCACTAAAACCTATTCAGCATCACACACACACAAACCACTACTGACAGATGGGTGGTGGCTACACATTAGGTGTGTTGGCCAGGAATAGAACCCAGGTCTCCTGCATTAAAGGCAGGAATTCCACCACTGAATCACCTAATGGCCCAGTCCTTATGCTATGATACATACATTAAGAATTGCTTATTAAGGCTAAAGACTAAAGAAGAGTCAGTTTCCAATTCTTAGAGATGCCTTCCAGAAACCTACAGTATTTTACTTTTAAAATATCTTCCTAAAAAAAAAAAAAACAACAAAAAAACACGTTTTTTTTAAATGTGAACTAAGATGGTTAACCAAGTTAAAAGACTTTTTTTTTTTTTTTTAGGGAAAAAAAAAAAAAAAGGAATCTTTTTCCTAGATTTACTTGACTGGAAGGCACCACCATGCTTTAGAATAAGCTCATTAATTTTCCTGAAACAGAAGAATTTATCAAAAATCAAAAAGACTCACTGAATGCTGAGGTGTGATTCTTTGTTGAGACAAAAACATGTAATATCAAATACTTTACAATCATAATGCTAAGCTCCCAAAACAATCTCCCCCCTCTTCGGGAAGAATTTCTGTATGTTAATATGTTAATCATACTTTTCATTACCTTTACTAGCCTACATCCAAAAACACGTAGAGCAAGAGCAAAAGTAAAAGTTTTATTTTTAATTAACAACGTAAAATAGACAATTTAACTGGCCATACTGCTTAACTTGTTTCATGTTGACAGCTTCATTTTATCTAGTTATACTACAGGCTTTTCTTTATGGAAAATTTCAAACACATATACAAGTAGAAAAATACAACGTAAGTACCTAGCTTTAACAACAACTGATCATGGTCAATCTTGCTTCGTCTATACTTCTACCAACACCTCACACTTCTACACTCACAATTGTTTTTGGACAAATCCCAGACGTATCATTTCGTCTGGAAATGTTTGCAGGTATTTTTGCAGCTCCTTATTTAGTGAAGCAGAATAAAACAAATAAATATTCCATTTCATTAGTTTCTACACTCAAAACTGCAGTGACCGTCCACAATGAGAATATTTAACTACACAATATAAACTACAATTAAAGCCAAGAAACCTTTCATATTCTATTAATAGACACCAATAAATAAAAGTTATGCCTCTGTATATCATTTTCACTCATTTCTTTTTAAAAATAAGATGTTAAGTCAGAAGACACTTTCAAGTGCTTAAATAATGCCCTGAAAAAACCCTACTCATGAACATGTTCAAAAACCTTTACGAAGGTTAAAAAAAAAAATCCAGCACTTAATGAGAGATAACCCAAATTCTTCTCTCCCAAATACTATTACTTCTAATCTTTCACATTTAAAACACAAGTACTGTAGTTTGGAACAAATGGTAAAGGTTTACAGTGAAATTCAGTTTAGGGAGAAAACAATCTCCTATCTACTTTCTACATCCTGTCCTCTTGGCAGGGCTGCCTTCTCTCCAGAAGAAACCCACTTCTTTCCAAACGCCATTCCACTACATCTATGGGGCTTTCTCTCCTTGATTTTAAATGGAAAAAGCTGGCATGCACTCACTATTCTTTTAACCAGTATCAAGATTTGGTAGAGCTGTAAGAGGGTACATGAGGGTCCATAAGAATAACCTAGGGAGTCCCTTTTCTGAAATTACAAATGCCTTTATCCATTCCATGTAAAATTAGTGTAAATAATGGCAATGCTTAATATGACAATGCTTGAAGGGACGTCACAGAAGCCCTGCTTTATAAGCAACAGCAATAACTTGGGCACTTTTCTTGGGTAACACAAGTCAAATCCACAATGAAACAAAATATAAAATACCAAGAAACTCTTAAATGGTTTAACTCATTTAACTGACTTCCATTTAACCAACCTGTTAAGATTAGCAGAAACTTCCTGCGTCCTTTCAAAATGTAACTGCTTTACACTTTACACCTATGGCATACTACTGAATGCTGCCCATCAGTAGGCTACTCTATAGTACACCTGCCTATTTCTACTTCTACCAATCAAGGTGTGCTTACTAATAGTCAGCTGCATTTGCTCCTAAGCCTATTTACACCAGTTGTTGTTATAATTAACCACTGATTTAATATTACATAAACTAATAAAAAGAAAGTTGTTCTTCCACTGAAAACAAGCTGAATGCTCTAAAAAAAGACACAAAAATTGCTGTTGAATAAGGTATAGACTAAGCAAGTATTAAAAACTAGGGGGGAAATAATATCTAGAATTCTGTATTTATATTGCTTCACTAAGTTTTTCTTTCCATGTAAAAGAAAGTGACACTGAATATTATGCCCCATGCATTATGAAAGGCAGACAGACAATAAAGAACTCTCTCTATATAATCTGTACTCAAAGAAGACTCTGATTCTAAACTAATAAAATGCTTAAGGTACATATCACTTGTTGATGCCCTACTTTAACCAATTTTGATTTAGACCCTTTCTCATCAGATAAGTGCTTTTACTATAATTGTCCACCACCCGTCTGTCAGTTTGTTGTACTGTGGTGGCTTGCATGATGCTAAAATGCTAGAAGCGATGCCACTGTATTTCAAGTACCAGCAGGGTCACCCATGGTGGATAGGTTTCAGTGAAGCCTCCATACTAAAAGCAGACTAAGAAAGGCCTGGCAATCTACTTCCAAAAATTAGCCACTGAAAAACCTATGGATTACAACTGAATACTGTCTGATATAATGCTGGAAGATGAGCCTGCTGGGTTAGAAGGTACTTAAAATACACAGTGGCCACAACAATGGCCTCAAGTACACCAACAATTGTGAAAAAGGACCAGGCAACATTTAATTCTGTTGTACACAAGCTGCCATGAATCAAAGCAGACTTGATGGCAGCTAACAACAAGACTGTAACTGTAACATTATTTCAAAAGCATTTAAGTGGTAAAAAAAATTTACACTCCAGGCTGTGGGGACCATGGTCTCAGGGAACATCTAGCTCAATTGGCATAACACAGTTTATAAAGACAATGTTCTAAATTCTACCTTGGTGAGTAGCATCTG